CACGCAACTTCACTTTTCCAAAATGGAATTGTCCTTCTCGCCATCGTTTTGTTTTCAGGTTCCCTCACCTGTCAGCTCTCAGAATTCATTTTATGGCGATGGCTGCAGTTCCCTGAAATAATGGAGAACACAGGCTCTCTCTTCTTGGACATTTCACGTTTTGATTCAGCTCTTCTTGTCTACGGACGACGTGGCTGCCTCCACACAGGGAGGCTGTGTGATGTATTCCTTCCAAGAACCAGCTTGTTATTCACTCTGGGTTCCGTGGAGGTCCTGACACTGGCTGGCTGTGACTGTACATGAGCTCGCTCTGGAACCTCCATTGCCCCACCTGAGAAAGGGGGTAGTCACACTGTAACTCACAGGGTCACGGCGGACCTATGTGAGATGGCACATTGAACTCCATGCATCACAAAGCCATGCTGGCTTAAAAAAAAAAAAAAAAAAGGTTAAACTACATTTACACTCTTAAAAGCCAAAAACTCCCAGAAATTATTGCTGAGTAAGATTTCTATATCGCTAATTGTATTATTTGGCAGGTTATTTTGAAATGTTGTTTTTGACGATGCTTTTCTTGTAATAACTTCTTTCTCTTACAAACTTTTATTTATTATTTTGCAATAGTCCTTGGTTTGCCTCCTGGCTCATGGTTGATGTCATGAAAATCTGAGAGCCTTTGATTGTATGGCTTCATAAATGGGCCACTTTTTTCCCCCCTAAGCATCAACATTTAAGACAGAATGTTAATGAGACGAGACCGTCAACCCTCTTTGACTCATGAAACCTTCCTTGTTTATGTAAGTACCAAGGCTCACTCAAACCATTCTCCATAGCCTTAGGACTAGTTGAAGAATGAAAAAGGAGGAAAATATTTGTCATTCTGGAAATGCAATTATTTTTGTGGGATTTTTTTTTAAGTTGGTAACTAATGTCATAAGACAATGTTATGGTTCTGTTTATAAAGGAGCAAGATCCAGACTAAAGAAATATTCCAATCAGCCTGTCCACCAACTGTCTCCACATATGTTAGTTTGGACTGTGTAGTTTTGATAAGGGAGGTGAGTGAAATTCTTTGTCTACCTTCTGGTCTCTTGGTCATATTTTATCCTTGTTTTATATCAACTATTCAAAAGAAAATGCTTAAAAGCAGAAAATACAGAAGCCTCCTAAACATCAGACTCAAAAGGCAAGGTAAGGGTGCCCTGGATCAGAGGCAGGCTGAGGCGGAGAGAGGGAAAGACAGCACTACTAGCCCAGACATAGGGGTGACTCCGAGAAGCCTCAGGTTCCCTTCCTTCTACTGGGGATCTGGTTAGACAGAACAATGTGCCACTGTATGCCTTGGAGAAAGGATTTGCTTTCCTATTGTTATAATAGTCCAGTTTCCTCCAGTACAAAGAGAAATACCACTTCCTCACTCAAGAAGCCTGTATGTTTGATCTTCATTCAAAATCAAGCTTTAAGTTATGCATGTGTGCATACAGGTCTTTGGCTGATATGCATAACCCATGGACACGGACAAGAGGGTGCTGAAGACCTGGGGCAGGGGGTGGGGGCAGGCTGGAGGGGGTCAAAGGGGTGCAAAAGGGAACGTACGTAATACTTTCAACAATAGAGAATTATTAATATTATTTTTTAAATCAAGCTTTAGCATGGTAAATACCCACTTGGTGCGGTTTGCAGAGATCACGAACTGTTGTGTGGTGTCCACTCCTCACCTTGGCCGGGGCCTGACATTCAGAGTGAGTCTGAGCTTTCACGTGGTCCTGAGCGTGTTGGACATACTTGTGGGCATACTTTCTGAACAGTCGTGGCACTGGCTCCAGAAAAAGACACGGCACAGAGCAGGACACCCAGGCAGATAAAAAACTAAGTCTGTAATGTTTTTCCAACATAAACTCTTAACTTGCTCTGACATCCTCTGGTGGAGTCTAGACACTGGGGCAAAGACCAAAGGGGCCAGACTGCTTAAAAAACCACCACCTAAACCTTGAAACTCTTGGCCATCCGTTAACCTCTTCAAGCAATTATTTTGCAGAAAAAGAATACTTAACACTTAGCAGTGTTGTTAGTCATGGTGAAATATTGACAACAGTCCTAAAATGGAAAACCAGATACATATGCAGAAGTGGGTTTCTGTGCAAGGGGAAGAGGCTGCCTGTACTAAGGCCCCTCACCCCCCCCCCCCCAATCTGAATTTCCTTCCTTTTGCCTTCTGATAGAGATGTCAGGGGGGAAGTGAGATAGCTGTAGCTGCCCAGTCCTCCTTCCTCTGTGTTACACTAAGTGCCAATACAATGTTAACCCCTTGCTAACTAGCTCTATCCCAGGCTCCTGTGCTTCGGAGACCTGATGTGCCAAGACTGAAGGCTGACCACCTCAAAACTCAATGTCATTTCCCCCCTGAGTGACTGAATCCGGAATTTCTTAGGGAAAGCCATGCATACAAGCTACGTTTTTTTAGCCTTTCTTGCAGCTAGGTGTGGCCACATGACTGATGTTGACCAATGAGGAATAAGTAGCAAGGCTGGATTATCCTTCTAGGGGGTCCCTAATAGAGAGGGGGTGAACCATGTCAGAATGGCTGTCCTTATTCTTTTTTCCTACATGGAAAGCAACCAGCAGCCATTACGGACCACACAGTGATCTTGAGAAGGAAGCCAAGACGATAGAAGGAGCATGAGTCACTGATACCGTGGAATGCCCTACCAGCCCCCAGACTTGTGACATAAGAGGTAAACAAAGCTCTATCTTTAGAAGCCATTTCTCACATGCAGCTGGACCTCGTCCCAGCAGATGCACGTGGGAAATTGTTGAAGGAAACTCTCTGAAATATTAAGCGTTTGGTGTACTAAACACAATAGCAAACACATGCATTAATGATGCCAACAGTTTACCTTTTAGAGGTTCTGACTAACCTTGTGTGTAGAGGTGGCTTGTCACCATACAAACACAGGGTAATGGATGTCTTTATTTCTTAGGGTACATTCATTAAAGATGCTAGAAGGCTCAGAAATCATGTTTTATGTTCAATAACGACCAAAATGCATGTTGACATTGTATATACTTCACAGAATTAACATTTTCAGTTGGGAGGGTGTAAAAATTTGTTTAAAGGAGGTTTTTAACTAAGAAGACTTATTTTACTGAGTGCCCTTAGCACAGGCATTGTGCTAAGCATTGCTTAACTTGTATCCTTACAGATACATACTATTCTCACTTAACAGAGAGGCAAATAGAAGAGATAAATTACTTGCCTGAGGTCACATGGCAAAGTCAGAAATCAAACCAAGGTCAGTCAGATTTCAGAACCTGTTACGAAATACCAAACTAAAGCATCTTCCATGTTTATATTTTTCTAGATAGTCTTGACCATCCTATAAATTCCCCATTGAGCCTTGTCAGAGTGGCTATCCTTGTTTTTGTAAATTAGAAGGTGAAAACCCCAAGAGGACTCATTTATCCTTAAGGCACAGGCAGTCATGTTGTCCAGAATCGGAACGAACCCCAAGGACAGAGAGAGCCAGAGCCACTCTCAGCAAAGTACCCTGGTTTCCTCCACAAGTGTGATTTAGAAGCCTGGCTCTTTAAATAAAAAAAAACAAAAAACAAAACAACGCACAAACAACCACCATCAAAGGTCACTGACACTCCACCTGGGGATATTAGAAGCGCCATTGAATTAATACAGGCAACCACATAGGGTGTTATATTTTAATCAGAATCAGGCATTAAATGGCATAAAATACTCTATATATCTCTTCACTGTTCCAAATCTCATACGCTTCATACCCAAACATGACATAAGAAGTTCCAACCATTATTTTGACCAGCCTCCCCAGTCCCAAAGGAGATTTAAAAAGTAATATAAAAAAGTTAAGGTCAAGGTGCCTTAATGTCACAGCCAGCGACTAACCACTGTTCAGCTCCTCCCTCAATGCCGCTGAGCTTACCTCCTGTCAAACAAGCGGTTAGTCACGAGTTCCCTGGGTGCTTGTCCCTGAATGCAGGCCACGCTCTGGCCACACAGTAGGCACTTTAAGTGGGGGTAGTTCCCTCTTCCAGGTTAGGGCCAACGTAACCTGGGCCAACGTAACCTTTCTTGAACGCGAGAAAAGAATTGACAGTTGAGCCCTGGCTGGTGTGGCTCTGGCTGGCAGCATGAAAGGTTCACAGGTTCTATTCCCCGTCAAGGGCATGTACCTGGGATGCAGGTTGGATCTTGGCCTGTGGGGGGGGGGGGGGGAGCTGCAGGAGGCCACCAACCAATGGATATGTTTCACACGGATGTTTCTCTCCCTTTCGCTCTTTCCCTTCCCCTTTCACTCTTTAAAAATCAATGGAAAAATATATCTCTTGGTGAGGATTCACAACAATAAAAACAACGGGATAGCCCCACAGACTGTCCCGGGAGTCTGCGCTCTGGGCTGAGAGGATGCTCAGGGACAGCTGTACCAGATGTTGTGGGGGCTGGGGGGTAGGAGGGGAGGGGAAGGGTTGCCAAAGTGGGTAATTTCCAGACAGCGGCACCATGGCCCGCTCTGCTTTTTTCTTTTTTAAATATATATTTTATTGATTTTTTTTTTTTTTTTTTTTACGGGGAGGAAGAGAGAGGGATAGAGAGCTAGAAACATCAATGAGGGAGAATCATCGATCAGCTGCCTCTTGCACACCCCCTTCTGGGGATGTGCCCGCAACCAAGGTACATGCCCTTGACCGGAATCGAACCCTGGACCCTTGAGTCCACAGGCCGACACTCTATCCACTGAGCCAAACCGGTTTCGGCCCGCTCTGCTTTCTGTCCCAGGGTCCTGAGTGATGGGCCGTCCGCCCAGGGGCGCGCTCAGTGTGGACGCAGCGGTGAATCGGCAGGCGCTGCGCCACCAGCACGAGGCTGGCCGTAAGCAGCAGGCAGGGCTGCAGATCCAGCTCGGCTCTGCGGAGCCATCACCCCGCGAAGACGCCCCTGGTGACACCAGCTCCGTGGCAAACCCGCTCCCCTAATCCGCGTCGTCCACATCCTCCCCCGCAGTGGCCGCGGCCAGAGCCGCCAGGGCCTCGGCCACCTCCGCATCCTCCTCCTCCTCCTCCTCCTCCGCCTCCCCGCCTCCGGGGGCGCCGCGGGCGTCCTCCCGCCCGCTCCTCCCATCGGCCACCGGAGTGGGGTCCCCTTCTTCCAGGTGGACGCTCAGGGCCTCTGCAGCCACGGCCCCGTTTACCGAACCCCAGCTCCTCTTCCCCGGGAAGGAGAGGGGCAGGTCCGGCCCCTGCTCCCCCGCGCCAGGGCGCGCTTCCTCCGGGCTCTCCTCCTGCTCCTCCTCCTCCTCGGTGTGGCCCTGGAGAACCTCCTCTTTCCCCCCGTGATCCACGTGGTCTCCAGCCGGGCCCTGGTGTGGAGGGTAGTCCGGGGCCGGTATCCGGGGGACAGGGTCCGGCACGTCCCCGGCGGGACACTCAGCCTCGGGAGAAACTCTGGAGTCTCCATCCCAGACGACTCGGGTATCCCCCAGCGCAGGGTCCGTCTCCCCGGCGCCCCCTCTTTCCGGGAAGGGGTGAGCTGGGGGCACGCTGTTGGCGGTGCTGGCCCTGGAGCCCGTGCCATCCTGGGGGGGCCCGGGGTCCCCAGCGGGCCCGATGCCATTGATGGCACCACCAGTCTTGTCCGCACAGGGGCCGCCTGCCGTGTCCCCCGGAGGGGGCGGCCCCTGGGGAGGCCAGCAGGGCTCCTGCGGCTCAGCCCTCCTGCCTCTGCTCCCCGTCCTCCTCAAGCCCTCCCGCTGGAGGTCATTTCTGTGCACCGGGACCTCGCCGCTTTGTTTGCCTTTCAGTTTCACGGTGTCCTCCTCGTCCAGCTTGCAGCTGCTCACTTCGTTGACGTAGCCCGGGGAGGGCACTTGAACTGGGTCGAAGAGATAGCTGGGGACGAGAACAATGAAGACCAGTCAGACGATCTTTATTTGTTCACCACTTTATGAATCACCAACTTCCACGCTTAGTAATTTCTGCGACAGGCTCTGCTGCTTCTCTTCCTGTGAATGTCTGTGTTTAGTTAATGTAGGTAAGGCTGTATGTGCGCCTAAATCAAATAGATAGAGTTGGCATAAAATGTTCTGTCACTGGAAATAGATCTTGAAAAGATTCAAAAGAAGATGGGAAGAAGGTACAGAACAAAGTTCACGGAATTTGAAAACAAGCAAAAAAAAAAAAAGTAAGTAGAAAGAAATGTGCAGAATCAGGGAACTAACTGGTTAAGTACGGATGGTCCATCCCTTCAATGGGATATTATACAGTCATCAAAAGGATAAATAGGAAGTCTGGACTAGCATGAAAAATACTTCTTTTTAAAAAAATATATTTTATTGATTTTTTACAGAGAGGAAGGGAGAGGAGATAGAGAGCTAGAAAGATCAATGAGAGAGAGAGAGAGACATGGACCAGCTGCCTCCTGCACACCCGCCACTGGGGATGTGTCCGAAACCAATGTACATGCCTTTGACCAGAATCGAACCTGAGATCTTTTAGTCCGCAGACCGACGACGCTCTACCACTGAGCCAAACCGGAAAGATACTTTAATAAATATTGTTTGTAAAGTGTAACATCACATTATGATTACGGGGGAGTAACATTTACACATGTATGTGTTGTGTGTATACTTACAAATGGGAAATAATATGTACATGTAGATAGATATGGAATAGAACTATAATAACACATAAATTTGTTTAAGGAAGCAAAATCATTAGTTAATTCCCTCCCGCCTTTATTTTATAGAGAATTCTGTTCCTATTACCCACATTCTGGGACAGAATCTGGAAAGGATTAAAAGCATATATGTGCTAAAACCGGTTTTGCTCAGTGGATAGAGCGTCAGCCTGCGGACTGAAAGGTCTCAGGTTCGATTCCGGTCAAGGGCATGTACCTTGGTTGTGGGCACATCTCCAGTGGGGGTGTGCAAGAGGCAGCTGATGGATGATTCTCTCTCATTGATGTTTCTAACTCTCTCTCTCTCTTCCTCTTTGTAAAAAGTCAATAAAATATATTTAAAAATATAATAAAATAAAAGCACATATATGACCAGGGCGATGTATTTTCAGCGATGCCATTTCAGGCTCCCACCCAAACCGAAGCTTTGCTTTTTGCATCACTCCCTGGAGAGATGTAAATTCAGCCCCAACCAAATTCAGTCTCAGAGACTGATGGAGTTCCCGACATCTCTGAGAAGGGAACAGCAACAACAACAACGGGGGTTTAATATCTAGGCCACAGGTCCTCCTACATGACATCAGAGCAGTTCCAAATCCTTAATGTCTGGGTCATGCTGCTCACGCCCCAACGAGATCAACGCAGAATCAGTGCAGGCTCTTTAAGAGGGAGGTTCCCTCCTCGGAAACCCCGACTCCTCCATTCGAATGAGGCATTTCCCCCCAACGTTACCTGTGTATCATTTTGCAGCACCTGCACCCCATCTGGATTATTTTTCGTTATCATCTGGGAAAGAAAACCTAAAAGGGAGAAAACACAGTGAGTAACATTTTAATATCGATGAGGCTTGCTTTTTCTTTCCTGGCTACTCACATGATAGTGGAGCGGCAGTTTTTGGCAGGAAGATAACAAGTGGCCAGGGAGGCCCTGGAATGCCTTGGTTATCGGCAATCACTGATTCCGAGCTCTCAGACATTCACTGATACTTGTCTGTGTGCCAGACCCTTTCCCCAGCGCTGGGAGTTTCGTATGCCATTTGCATTTTGCAAATGAGGAAACACTGGTTGAAAACAGTGGGGAGGGAAAGGAGGGATTGTGCTTTTCCTATTCCACTGCCTTCTTTGGGGGACACGGGGGCCTAACCAGGGGGCAGCAGGAAGTGTAAGAGGAAGGGGAGGTGTCTGTGCCAGGGATGAGCTGCTCCAGTCTTCAAGGACTTCAGGACCAGGCAGCTGACCCACGCGTTCCACGTCAGAGACCCGAGGAGGCCAGAGCCGGGCCGTCATCACAAGCTTCAGCCGGACGCACCTGTGCCTGCTCTGCCCTTCTCATCGCCGGGCGGATGCTGGCCACGATTCGTGGCCTCCACTCTCGCAGTCCAAGTGGGCTTCCTGGTGGCAGGTGGCCTCGGGTCTGTGCTTCTTCCATTTCTTACCTGCCCCCTGCCTCCCGCCTTTTCCCATCGTGGCATTTCCCCCCTGCAAACTGCCCTCTGAATAAAACCTTCTCTGCACGGGAAACCGACGACATTGTTCTGATCTTTCCTTTGAGTCATTCTCCATTTTGAATATTTGCGACCTTCTCAAAGACAAGCCATAGCCCCCGTCCCTTTGCATCCACAGGATGCAGGCACTTGAAACAGAGAGAGATCCCTCACTGTTGATGGGGTTACTGCCTCCAGTCACGAAAGGAATTTCCCAGGATGCTGCTAAACAAGCCTTTACCACAAAGAAAACACGCGGTGTTTTCTCAATAGTACAGACCGGCCAGTTGGCTACAAGGGACTAGGTCAGTGGTCGGCAAACTCATCAGTCAACAGAGCCAAATATCAACAGTACAACGATAGACATTCCTTTTGAGAGCCACATTTTTTAAACTTAAACTTCTTCTAATGCCACTTCTTCAACATAGACTCGCCCAGGCCGTGGTATTTTGTGGAAGAGCCACACTCAAGGGGCCAAAGAGCCGCATGTGGCTCGAGAGCCGCAGTTTGCCAACTACTAGACTAGGTTGACACTGATAAATCTGATCCACAAATAACCTCCTATGGAGGCTAAAGATGCCTCACCCCCCAAAACGGCCACATCCTAACCTCTGCAACTTGTGAGTGCTGCCTCATAGGCCTGAAACCAACCAATCAAGTACACCTTGGCGGACGTGATCACAGATGGGAGATGGGGAGGGTGGCCTGGCTTACCTGGTTCAGAGCCCGACTCTGCCTCTGACTGGCTGTGTGACTCAGGGCCACAGCTATTTCTTTTTAAAAAATATATTTTATTGATTTTTTACAGAGAGGAAGGGAGAGAGAGAGAGAGCCAGAAACATCGATGAGAGAGAAACATCCACCAGCTGCCTTCTGCACATCCCCCACCGGGGATGTGCCCGCAGCCAACGTACATGCCCTTGACCAGAATCGAACCCGAGACCCTTCAGTCCGCAGACTGATGCTCTACCACCGAGCCAAACCGGTTTCGGCAGGGCCACAGCTATTTCATCGGTACTAAATAAATGGGGATAATAATATAACAGTGCATGGTGTTGCCGAAGATTATACAAGTTAATATTCATACTAAGCATCTGCTTATTATTCAGCTTTGTTAGGATACAGCATGCTTAAATAAATAAATAAATAAATAAATAAATAAATAAATAAATAAAAATTTAAAAAAATTGAGGCCTTGTCCCTAAGGAAGATTAATCTAGGAGCTATGACATACACAGATGCACGATATAGCATTAACAGCACCGAGGAAGGCTTGCTTCTGGCACACGAGCCAAATGGTATATTTCTACCAACGTGGCACCGATGGAAAGAACAAACCCCCAAGGCAACAGAGGTTGGACAAGCAGAGACACCACTGGGGGCTTGGCCCGGGAATATGTGTGTGCAAGCTTGTCCTCCTTCAAGGCACTCTCAGGTAAATGACGCCCGGGCTTTGTTTCGGCCTCTGCATGCCCGTTCCCTGAGAATGTTTCGTATATTAGCTGGACAGATGTCATGAAAAGTGCCACATGCACCTCCTGTCCTCCACCAACCCCTGTCCTCCCCTCCCTCCTTCCCGTCCACACCCTGCTCTGAAATCCTGCCCATCCGTGCTAGCACTACCTTTGTTTACCTTGGTCTCTAGTTAAAAAACAACAACAAACAAACAAACAAAAAAACCAGCCAGGAAAGGTCCCCCTCTTCTCCCCCCCCCTCCAAAAAAAAGTTTTTAAGTGTTTGAGAGAGGGCAGACCGTGGGTGAGAGTAATGCGATTGAAGTACTGTAAAATATCAAGCACTGAACGCTCTCAGGGCGGTCAACTTTAGGATGGTGAGCTCAAGAGTTGCTCAGGGAGAGGTTTCCTTCTGAGAGGGAGGAAGGCAGGAAGGCAGGCATGTCTTGAGCGACACCCTATGTTCCTAGGGACAGGGAGACTGACTCGGGTCCACCTCGGGCAGCCCTGGCCAGGCTGGGTGACGCACCCTCTGCTGCGCTGGCCGTGGCCGTGGCCACACAAGCAACGTGATGCAATGCCTGCTGAGGTTTAACAGCCCGACGAGAGAGAGTCAGCACCTCCCTGTGTCTTACAGAATTCACATGTCATCGTCTGTGGCTGTTAAGACCCCCCACCCCCCCGCCCGCCCGGAAAACCACAGGATCTATATTTTCCTTCAAAACCAAAAATTGTGAGGGATGTTTCGATGACTGTCCCCTTTCGGGATCAAATTTCCAGTCTGGCTTCTCCTCCCATTCCTCAGAGCCCTCTAGGGCACACCGCCTGGGCTTCCTACAGACCTGGGCCCCGGCCCAAGGGCCATGCTCTCGGCCTCTCCCAAGTTCAATGAGACCGGCTCTGGCCTCCAAGGCTGTGTGAGGGCTGCTGAAAAGGGGGGGGGGACTAAGGTATTTACAGCCGAGCCCGGCCTGCCCCTATCTCCAACCATTCGTCCTTGTTTGATGATTCCTAATTGCAAATGCAAGTTATTTCTCTTTCCATGTCACCCCCACTTCAATACCTTGCTTTTAGGGAGGCGTCCTCCATTGCTGGGTGCAAAAAGGAAACACCCACTCATTACCTGTGTGATCCGTGGATGCAAATGGAAAAAAACACTCCCAAGGAGTAAGTCTGAGCTAAGAGTGGGCAGACTGTCTGCTCTCTCTGCCCCGCTTTGGCGACAGCTAGCTCGCAGGTGAGAAGCCAGCTGTCCGGTGCCCTTTGTGACTGAGCAGCGTGGAAATGTGCTTTCTCTTTGGAGTAGGAAAAAGCAACAGAGAAGCAAAGGGCAGATCCTTCCCGTTTACACATGGGAAAGCAAACACCATGAGGGGGCGTGCCCAGCGGCGCTGGCACCTGCCCGCTCCGGGGTCCGAGCTGGGAGCTGACTCTGTCCTGGGTTTGGTGTGGACGTTACACAGACCGGCGTTTGAAGATGGACATGACAAGGTCCCATCCGTTCCTAGCAAGTCTCCTTGGGGAGAAGGGACAAGGTGGGAAGAAGGGACAAGAGGGGAGAGCCACCAGTCTGCTAAGCAGACAGAAATCGACTGGAAATCCACCAGGAAGTGAAGGGAATATAGGAAAAGGCTCCCCCAGCGGGAAAGGACTGCCTGTATAGACTAGCTAACAGTATTAAATCAATGCTCACTTCCTGATTTGGATCATTGTACTGGGGGCTATATAAGAAAATGGCCCTGTTCTTAGGAAATATACAGTAAAATAAAGTATTTAGGAGTAAAGAGCATGGGACCTGTAACTTGTTAAAATAATTCAGAAAAAAAAATGTGTGTGTGTGTGTGTGTAGAAAAGAGAATATAGTCAATGTGGAAAATGCCAACATTTGGGGACTCTGGTTACAGGTTATGTGGAGATTCTTTTATTTTTTTAATTTAAATGATTTTATCGTAAAATTTTATATAAAACAAAATTCAGAAACAGAACTAAGACAGTAGTTAAGCTTACTGAAATCCCATAGACCTTTCTTTTTTTTTTTTTTAATATATATTTTATTGATTTTGTACAGAGAGGAAGGGAGAGAGATACAAAGTTAGAAACATCGATGAGAGAGAGTCATCGATCAGCTGCCTCTTGCACACCCCCTACTGGGGTTATGCCCGCAACCAAGGTACATGCCCTTGACCGGAATCGAACCCGGGACCTTTCAGTCCCCAAGCCGACGCTCTATCCATTGAGCCAAACCGGTTTTGGCCTATAGACCTTTCTGAATGTAGCTGTCATCCTAAGTATTTAACAGGCAGCCCCAGGCCTGCACCTCGAAGGCACAGCTCCTGCCTTCTGGCTGCCCCGTGTAAAGAGGGAATCAGCGTCTAGGGCTGGGGTTTTGCCAGCTGTCTGCTGCCCTACTAAGCACAGGCTCCTCGCAGGCAATGCCTCACCCAGCCCCAAGGCCAGCTCCCACTAAGGAGCACCTCATCTTGGTATTCAAACAAAGCAGTGACTGGCAAGTGCCATGTGCCAATGAGTGAGTGAGCCACATGGAATATTGTAAGTTATTATTCCTATAGAGAGTCTCCCCTTCCTATGATCAAATCTCACACTGTACTGAACGGTGGCCCAAAAGGAGAATCCGAGTGCAAGAGCTGAGAGCGATGGGAGGAACCCTGGTTCCCTCTCCCCCCCCTGGAAACAGCCAAACCTCCCGTGTGTGACCCCAAGGATGTTCCGCCTCAGGGGTCCTGTTCAGCGGGCTCTCAGGGCAGCTGCTGGGACGTGGTTCGAGTTTGTCGGAGCCGAAGTGCTTGGAAGAGAGACAGAGTAAAAC